ATGCAAAGTAGTGGCTTGAAAGTTAAAACACCAAAACCTTTTTGTTGAATTGCATGAACAAGTTATTTTTTCAGGTTGGGCATTTTGATGTTCAAGTTTTTTTGAACTTTAGTTTTAGTATGGTAAACTTAACTTTTTCGTTTGAATGTACTAAAGTAATGTCATAAGGCATTTTAATGTTGAATTTTAGTGTGGTGACCATGAATTTGTTTTATTATTTTTTTTCAATTGGGTTGTACTAATGGCATAAAGCATTTATTTTGCAAATGGTTTGAAATCAAAAGCAAAACCGTTTGAAACTGAACCTAACCACAATCAAATGGTTTAGTTCTATTTTAGTTCAAGCTTCAAAACCACACTGAATGGCATTGCAAAAAAAATTCGGTTTTGATTTTGACTTCACCCAAAACCACACCAAATCAAACCGTACCAACTCCTAATTTAAAGATAGACGGATTTAGGTTTAAAAAATAAAAGTTACAAGAGTATTTCTAGAGAACTAAAGTCAAAGTATGGGTTGGATATCCACCATTGCATTTTGCGCGCGCACGTGTGTGTATATACATATGTGGGAGAAGTTAATTTTATATATAGAAGATGCGATTGCAAATTTGGCATGAGATTTAAGATAATAGAACTTAATTGATAGAACGTACTGTTTTTCGTTCTTTAACAACCATTCTAGATCCCTGTGTCGGATATGGCAGGTTCCAGGTTGTGTCCCGTGAGTTGGCTTACTCGTTTCTTCACATATTTTAGTTATAGAATATAAAAACGAGATACATGAGTTTGTAACGTGAGAGAAGCAAGGGGGTCAACTTCTTTCAAAAATATAACATGAATTTTAGTAATGCATTGTAGCTGGACTTTATATCGATTCTAATGAATTATCCTTTTTACGAAAGTAAATATTTGCCTGCTAGGTAAGAGAATAACAAGTTACAAGCTCTGTCTCAATAGAACATGTATTTTTATTACTATGAAATTCATAAATGAAGTAATTAACGGTAAGGTTACCACTATCCTTTTTGTAGTGACTAATCTTGTATATGCTCCTAAGAAAAGGAAGTCGTCCATTTTTTAAGATCGCTAGTACATTATGCTTGGGTTTTGAATGAATCACATGTTTTTTTTAGACATTTCATTATTCCAACTGTTGCACAAAATTGACAGAGTCAACTTCATTTCCTTATTCATTGAAGGATATAAAATAATGCTCCCTTCATTTTGGAGTACTCGATACAGCACGATTATGACCAAAGAAAATGCAGAAAAGCAAGAGTATATGACAAGAAATTACCAATTATTTAAGATTAATTATTACAATGTTACTCCTATCGTCAGTGCTTACAGAAACTAAATAACTTTATTTTAGGAAATTATTATTAGAACTCCTAAAATCACATTTGGCACTTCAAACTTTCTTTAATTAAAAAGAAAAATACACTTGTGAAGAGTGTAAAATGAGATTTTTGGAATGTTAATAACAATTCCCTTTATTTTATAATAAGATCCATAAAAGATTTTCTAAAATCCATAGAAAATTTGGGTGGTTGCAATTGGGTGGATGGGACCTGTTTGATGCATAAATAATGAGTTGGAAGCTTTTTCTAGCTTTGCGTACATGAAAAAGTTAGTAGTGGTGGTGATGTCCACCATTGAGCAGCCTCAAAATAATTGATAATCAAGTAACAATGTTCCATAGTACTATGATATAGTAATATTCATACTATTACATCTTAACACCAATACACAAGATAGATAGACGGGAGTTTGAATTAGAGTTATCGAAAATGTAATTGAGATTGTTTCGCAGGCAACTTGGAGGCACATAATTATGTCAAAAATAAGAGTACTACCCTTTACTAACGTTTATTTGACGGAATTGATGAAAATAGAGTAAACTGAGACTTGATGAAACAAAAATGACCGTTTAATTGGGAAAGTGAGACAAAACCAGCTTTAGAGAGAAACATGAGACTAAATGAAACTTTCAGGAGGCAAATCAATTATTGAGCCTGTTTAAAAGGTGTTTTTATGCATTTCCAAATTCCATTTGCAGTTCTACAGTAAAACTCAAACAGTCTGCGTAAAAAAAATCCAACGCAGCCATCTGCTCGATTCATTCCATCTCTTGCATTTCTCTTTGGCCCCGTTCTCATTGTCTCTAACTAGACTAGATTTAGAGACTGAGATGAACTACCTTCACATGAATTAAGCAGGATAAAATAATAAAGTATTTGGGGCAATGATAGGCGTTGACTAAAATATTTTTGGAACCCAGATTATTTTTGCCCTTTTTAAATTCAGTTTTTCCATTTTATAATCTCCTAAACTTCAAATATTTACTTGCCTATTGTAAAAAAACTTTTGAAATTATCTCCACTGTATTTATCTATTTAATTATTGAATAACTTCAATATGGAACAGAATCTAACTTTTATTTTTTGAAAAACTTGTTACAACTTGTTGGAAAGTTTGGAATGAACAGAATAAAATATATAAAAAAATAGGTTTTTTTTATATGAATCTCCTAATTTGATTGAAGCCATCATTCATATTAAATAGTTTTGAAAAATTTTTAGCAAGACTAATTAAATCTTATGGATTGAGTCCTCAAAAAATTATTATGTTAATTTTGATGGATTGGTCTATTCCAATGGTGACACACCTATTGATTTGTAATTAGGCAATCTAATTGTTCGGAATGAAGAGATCTTGCATGAGCTTATAAGTAAATTGGGCTAATCTCTATATTGCTATTTGGTTTTATGGTTAAATCTCAACTTCCTTCATGGTATCAAAGGTTGTCCCACATGTGAAGTCCAAAGGAGACCATGTCACCCGATTTGTATTCTCCATGTTTTAGGCTTGAAAATTCGCCACATATGAGTGAACATGCTGAGAATGAACCCTACATTATAGGAGGAGGAACCTTGAATGGTCTTATAAGTAAATTGTGCTACTTTGCATATTACCAATTGGTTTTATAATGAAGCCTCAACTTTCTTGACTTATTTCCTATAAATTTTCATCATCACTCTCAATCTGACATATCTTTCGGGAAGGAAATATATATGGTTTTTGATGGCTTACCTTCCCTAGCGCTTTTATATGATGTATTTGATTTTGGGTTAATGATTTTCCTTCTGTAATATGGTATAGGTTAAAATTTGACCTTTATGAAAATAGTAACGTAATTAGTTTTTGGGTTAATGATACCTCGAGAATACTCATAATTAGTATCAATGTTAAAAAAATAGTAGCATAATTACATGATTATGTTCTAATATATGACGTACATCAAAACAATGAATAGTTAAATGTTTAATTAATGATCTACTAAATAGAAAGTCAACAGCTAAAAATTCTGATATACAATAAAAAATAAAGTAAAACAAAAACTTACGCATGATATGCATAGAAGCAATATTTCTCCTATTGAAAAAGGACGAGATGATATGTTTTTAGGTAGAACTAATAAAAAGTCCCTAACAGAATATTTTTAATTGAAAAATACTTAAACAACCAAAAAGTAGTCACACTTATGAATTTTAAAAAAAAAAAAAAGCATGTCCTTAATAATACAGAAAGTGTCCTTAATAATAAAAAAAATTGCAATTAATAATATAAAAAAATATGCCCTTAATAATAAAGAATGTTGTCTCAGAGTTTTCTAATAAAAAAAAAATTTGTGAGGGACTTTCCCTTAATTTTCTAATCTTTTTTTTCAGAGTAATGTTAGGTAGACTAATTTGTTAAATGACATTTGCAAATCATGTAATGTATTACTAATAGGAAATAAGTTCATTAATCAACATTTAATTAATAATCCAATCATCAACAACCATGTTATATGATTTACAAAATATGATTTAAATTAATAATCTTCCTACATAATTTTTTTTATGAACATTATGTTAGATTGTATTATCACAATAATAGTAATCCCCCCCTGCTCCCTTAATAATAGTAATTTTTATTTTAAAAAAAGGTTACGTTAGATTGTTTATCTATTATACACAAATGAAAATCATAATAAATGCAATATTAAGACCACTGTTCTAAAAATTCCCGTCTAGCACCGCTGGTCACTACTTTGATTAACTCTTAGGCATTTGAAAATTAAGAAAGACCGCCTAAACCTGCTTTGCCCACGTAGCCTATCTAGGAGCCCACCTAGTTCACCTAGGCACCTTCTTAGATCGTGACTCTCACTTAGATAGAAAATACATAACTTTCATTTACATTTTTTCTAATAAATTGAACTATACTTGTTAAATATTTGGATGAACACTCATTATATTATGATTTTCCATATTTTCAATATGTTCTAACACGTTTTAATTTGTATGTCACTCTATTTTTCATTTTTTGTATTTTAATACAATTATGTATTTTTTAAGTATAAACATGTACTTATTTATAAAATATTAATAAGTTTACTTATATCCTTCTAGTCCGCCAAAGCCTTGTCCAGCTGTTTTGCGTTTAACGTCTTTTAGAACCTTAATTAAAACTAAGTCAAATCGAATGTTTTGCGATCGCAATCATGGATGCATAATTGTCCATTACTTTTAGGGTTTCCCATTGGTCAAAGGTAGAACAAACTTATATCTGCACGTGTATTAAATAAAGGGGCCCTTATGTATAGTATATTGGCGGCTTGGCCCACATATCACCACCGTCACCTGCAGATTACCATCCCAAAAAATTTATTAAAACCCTGAAAGAGATCGAAGAGACAATAATGGAGGAGCACAATTAAAATTGCTTATATATATATATTGGTCAAACATATTGGTTTGACCACATTTCAATTTTGTACATTATGAATGCATACAATCGTCACCGCCGACGGTTCAAGACAAGCAGCGTTGAAATTCTTTGCTTCTTCTTTCTTCATCTTCCGTTCCCCAATAGCTGCACTTCCAGGTCGTTGCCTTTCTTTGCTTATTTCCAATCTATATATAATGCTTCTAATATTTTCATCACACACAATAACCAAATCCGAAAAATAATCTCACTCTTTTAAGTCCTCAAGAACCCTAGAAGTTCAAAGTTTCACTCGCAATGGAATCTCACGCCTCTTCCTCTTCAGCCTCCTCCACCACCACATACTTGTCCCAAACCAAACAACCAAAAAAGGGTTCAATTTCAACCTCAAAGCAGCTTCCCAATCACCAGTCAGCACTCCACTCGGCTCGAAAATCTTCGTCGAAGCCATGGAAGAAACCTGCTGTTGCACCACTTCCACCAACCCCACCAAGAATCTACAAAGTTGACCCCATTAACTTCAGGGAGCTTGTCCAGAGCCTAACCAGCGAGCCAGAGTTTATGGAGACTCGGTCTCTCCAGAGCGTAGCTCCTCCACCGATCGATATCCGTGTGTCTTCTGTACCAAACCATGCCCCTTCTTCTTCACCAAAAATTAGCTCACCATTTTCGGTTATGTACAAGGAATTGTCGGATACATTGGAGCTGAGTCCGATGCCTCGCCAACAGAAGGTGCATGATAGCACGGTGGACTCGAGTTACCTGAGACTGAATTTGCAGTCCCCGTCTTCCCATCATTGGTTTTCTTTCCCTATGCACAGCCCAGGGACTTTGTCCAGTATCGAACGACCCGAAGTTCTTTAGGACTACTTCAATCACAAATGCTATATTTATGTGAGCCCAATTTCTTAAAATTGTGGTTTTTTTTTTTTTTTTTTTTTTATAACTTATAAATCCTAATTTTGTTTTAAATTTTAGCATTCTAGTTTATTAAGAACACATCTATAGGTTGTATGTAATAATGTAAGCAGCAATGCATAGAATCATGTACACAAGTTTGACTGCAATGCTAGCTAGCTAGCTAGTTCAGAAGTCTTTTAATGTGAACGTGTAGTTATGAATCAATGGAATAATGGCAGATAAAGTGATATTTTAATAACTCTAAATATTACAATATTGGCTGATCGGGTCCTCACCGAATTTTACCACTGCAGATTGATAATAACAATGGCCAGAGATTTACCATCAAAATCAGGTGGCTGAAAACGAGATTGACGTCGGTATAAGTAATTATGTACAAAAATTGGGCGTATCATTCTCGACTGGCATTTTTGCGATGAGGATTAGAAAGTTTCAGAGAGGGGGCGGCCGAATAATGGGTCTAAGCACCGATACTATCATAACTTAACCACATACAAGCTCAACAGAAGATGTGACGTTAAGGTCTGGATGCTTATTTGGAAATTGAATGTGATATTTCGCCTTAACTTTGTCTTACCATGATAAAATGGGGAAGAAAAATTTTAGGTGTGTTCATACCTTGCAAGCTTTTTACCCATGATAGATTTCACTTGTTCTTGTCAAGATTTGTTGTTTTGCAGGATCCATTCCTTTGTTCATCTCTTGAGTATTGGTAAGTAAAATTTGGTTTTAGGCTTGGGGTATTTTGTTAAGGAAAGCCAAAGGGAGAGATTGTGAAGTCTAGAGTTTTAGGTTTGGGTTTCCTTGTCAATAATGTAATATGTACCCCACATGCTCAAGTTAGTATTAGAACATGCTCTGCACTAAGGGCCGCCATTGTTGGAAATATTCATTCAAGGGTTTGACTTCTCACATCAAAGATTTATTCATGCATATGCATTCCATGCTTATATTTCCAGTTCTGTCTTATCAAAACTTCTCGCTGCTTTCCAGTTTACTGGGCACACACTTTAAGATAACCCACATAGGCTGATTGACATCTTTTTCTCGAGTGTGGTTTTCTCACCCTTGATCTAAACACAATTGCTTTGGCTTTGACACATGTCTCCTTGCTCCCTTTATCTGAAATATCCATGCCTCTCTTTAAAAGGGCAACTAGGGTTCGTTTGGTTTTTGGGGGCTAAGATTGGAAAAGTTTTTTAGAGCTTTATTTTTCATCTCCATCTCAGATCTCCTAGGAGCATCAAACATATTTTATGGTTAATGTTCTTCATCGAATATTTCTAAATCTATCTTTGAAATTGCTTACTTAGATTTGTTTTATATGCTCATTTGTTTTGGCTAGGAGTTTTACATTTTTAGAAAAGAGTTGTTTTAGTTTTGAGTTGCCTCTTTGAGTTCCTCATCAGAAACACGAGCCACAAAATCACACTCATGCACTAAACACCTAAATCGTTGCATATTAGGGTAGCATTGTCATTATGATTTTGTTTTAAGTTTGTGGTCAAGTTTTTCAAGTTTTAAACTGACCTCTTTTTGGATTTGCGTCAGTTACATCTTTCAAGTGTTCGACTGGTGAAACTGACTAGACATTTGAATCCAGATCTGCATAACATTTTCATATCATCATATGCATAATTTGTGTGTTGGTCTCGATGCCACAAGGTGAAAAGTTCAGGAGGAGTTGCCATCTTGTGAAGACTGGAGATGACATCATTTCGGTGCCACAAAGTGAAGAGCTCAGGAGAAGCTATCACTTCATGAAGACCGAAATCTGTCTCATGTAAGGCAAGGTTGCACAAAGGTAAAGCTACTCAGTAGACTAGGTCTAGCAGTTGAGCTATGTTGGTACTTTGTAAGAATCTTGTTTACATTAGTGAATTGGACTCAGTGGAGAGTCCCCAGTTTTTAACCCAGATGTGGATTTTTTCGGCCAAAAACTTCTTGCATTCTTTGTCCCTTAAGTAACTTCACATGTCTTATTTACTTTCATATGTTTCATGCATTCTATGAATTGTTATTTGATATGTGTTAGAGATTAAGTTTACACTGCATAGTATGAGCAATGAACTGAATTGTTGTTGACTAGGATAACTTGTAGTGAACTAGGCTTAATTCGTAGATTTGCGTTGATTAACTGACGAATATGTACTTAGTTGACTGGTGAGCTTGACTAGTTAATCCAGCATACTTTAATTCATAATTGCTTTGTCATTGCTGTTTGCATAATGCATTGGTATGTAAATGTGTTCAAGCTTAGGAAGTATTGTTGTGAAACTAATCTGGCAACTCTGATTAGTTAAACGTATTGGTCAATTAGGTTTTGTTCTTACAACTGCACTTTATATCATTAACCAACTTGTAATTAGTTGATTAGCTCATTTGACTAGTTTACCATGCAAAGTTAATTTTTCTTTACAGGATATTCCACCTAGTACCCAATTTCACATCTTTTACACTTAAATTAGTATAACTTGAATTAGGACCACGAATGGAAAACCCCAAAGTCAAATCATGAGTTAAGGACAACCGCAACCCCAAAGTTCGAAGTCCTAAGTTGTGTCCCCGAAATATTTAAAGGTTACATGATATGGTGTTGCCTTCGTATGTGGCTCACTAATTAAAAAGTGATCTCAGGTAAGGGGCGCATTGAAGCATATGTTACATGTAGAAAACCTCATGAAGTTAAATCCCCCTTATATTGAATGATTCCCCTACTGAGGCCACTAAGGCCTTTATATAAAACCTCACACTATAGTAAAGTTTGGGGCATTATCGATATTGATTAATAATGGTTCATTCAACCATCTTTGAAACTTCAAAGAATTGCTACTTTAATTATTTATGTTTGTGATATGGTGGTTACATGGGGTCATCACGGTCACGAGATATTAAAAGGTTTTCAATAATACCTTACAACTAAGTTTGATATGAAAGAGTTGGGAAGTATTTTCTTGGAATATAAGGGTTCGTTTGGATATGCTTTTAAAATGACTGAAAGCGCTTTTAGAGAAAATATTTTTGGGTTTCAAAAGCACTTAAAGTGCCTTCTGCAAGAAGCAGTAGTTATGTGCTTCTTTCAAGAAGCACTTTAAGTGCTTTTCCAAGATTTACTTGCATCTTTACTAATGATTGGTTCTAAAAACATTTTCACCAAAAATGCGTTCAGTCATTTTAAAAGCAGATCCAAACAAGGTCTAAGTTGCTAGATTAAAGCATGCCTTCTTTCTATCTCAAAAAGGGAAAAAAAAAAAAAATTGGGTATCATGACTGAATAATATATGCTATGTACGTTGGATTGTATTCTATTGAGTATTGACACTCTCATATGGCAAGTTCCACTTGTATCCAAATCGAGTCTGCCAATACGGAGAGATCCTAGGCTTGTGGAATGATTGATGTATTTGTCTCATATGCAACACCACAGTTTATGGAGTTAATGCAGTGCGTCGGTTTATGCATGCTTTGAATGTGTTGAGGTAGTTGAAGGTCTGGTCCTGGTAAAAGATTGATGTTTTCTAATCATTTATATGGGAACGGATACACGTGATGCAATATGAATTATTGACATAGTTTGTATTGTCATATATCGGATTTGAAGCTTAAAAAGCCAGTTTGTATGGTGACAATAAGGTTATAATTGATAGTGCAATGAATCTGATTTAACATGATTGCAAGCTGAATTGGCTTTTCTTTTTTGAAGACTTGAGAGCAAATGGATGATGTGCTTACTAACACAGCCTCAAGTAGAGTGTTTTACATCTCGCTTGATAAGTTGGATATGCGTGATAATTTTACACCAAGTAGAAGATGATTGTTGGTCGTGCAAGTTTCCTTCATATTTAAAATTGTACTTATATCCTAAAGTTTGATTAAGATTAAAGTATATATAATTACCTCTCTCAATGTAAGATTGTATATATACCACTACTTTAGGGACATATCATATTAGATCTATTGAGCATTGCCTTTACCATTCTCTTCAGTTCTTTTCATTGTTATGTTAATCTCTTAATAGTCTTTCCCACCCATTATCATCAATTAAATAGAAACAATAGCAGAAATAGAATTTCGAGAGAGAGAGAGAGAGAGAAGACAAACAAATTTACTCGAACCCAAAGCTATGGAGATCGGTCTCATAAAGCCGGACTAGAAGGGTGCAGTGGTGGTTGGGGGGATCGAATCCGAGTTTCAAGAGGGAGAGATCTTCTGGGTTTTAGAGGGATATGGAGAGAATGGGGCAGGAGGAGAAAAAGAGAGATGAAGATGTTTCTAAACAAAGTAAAAAAGAAAATTAATAATAAAATGATGTTGTTTTTTTTTTATTCTTTATTCATTTATCTAGAAAAAAATTAATACCAATTGATCGGGCAATTTATTTAACAGGATACACTCAGACAATTACTATTGACTAAGCTAGTAATTGTCTATTGCCCAATTGTTTGGGCAATTATTATCCGAATGAGTAGAACTGCTCTTATGTGCAGTGTTTAAAATTTCGTCGACATGGTCGATATTTTTTATGGAAATATCCAAAAAAACCAGATAAAGATATGAAACTAAGGGTGAAGTCTAAACTTATACTTCACCTCATATCGGAGAAACAAGTTTAGGGTAAAATCGACATAGACACATATGCTAAATATCAGAGAAGCTCTTATATTTCATTCAAATCAATGTTGGATAATCCCTAAAGCTTCATTTTAAATTTTCATCATTTCTAGAGCCAACCTTGGCCCAGTGTAGGTTGGGCCACCATCCAGGCAAAAAATTGGGTGCATCAAAATTATGAGAGTGATATATTTACATATGTTTTCATAAGAGTATAAATTTATAAAATTTGGCTAAATGATTAAAATGTTTAACTAGACGGGTTCTGATTGTTTCCATTGAAAGTACCCTAACTTCAAACTCAATAATTACAAACACGGAAATCTCAAAAATCTCAAAACGGGTTCTGATCATTTCCATTGAAAGCGGTCAATATCAATATTTGATATATTCGTCATTATTTTTACAAATTTATATATCGATATTTTCATTGATTTCGATTTCTTAAACACAGTTCATGGGTAAGCATCCAACCTAATATGTTGGAAAACAAGCCAACAGAAGGCTAAGGCCAATGTTCAGGCGATGACCCCCAGCAATGCAGCGCATATGGCTTGGTGATGACCAGCAGCAATGCGGCGCATATGGCTTGGTGATTGGACCACCCAACCATCATATTTTATTTATTAATTCACACCACTCACCATCTTACATACATACAATGGAAAGAAATCATCTATAGATTCCTTCTTCCTAATCCACCAAATCAGGGTCATTGAAATTTGATTCAACGGTTAAAATTATTATGATTTTAAAGTGACCCCTATTTATAACAATTTGATCAAATTTTAATGACACAGATTTCCTAATTTGATGGATTAGGAGAAAGGGATCCACAGCGTATATCGCTTGGTGATTGGACCACCCAACCATCATATTTTATTTATTAATTCACACCACTCACCATCTTACATACATACAATGGAAAGGAATCCTCTACAGATTCCTTCCTTCTAATCCACCATATCAGAGAATCCATGTCATTAAAATTTGATCCAACGGTTGAAATTATTATAACGTTAAAGTGACCCCTATTTATAACCATTTGATTAAATTTTAATGGCATAGATTTCCTGATTTGATGGATTAGGAAACAGAGATGGGAGAGGATCCCTTTCCACATACATTTACCAAAACATATATAAAAAGAATCACAGAACAGAGACAAACACCAATAATGGAGAATAATAAAATATAGTACACTTACATATCATTTGAATTGTTACTCTAGTTCAAATTGATTCTTAACTTCTTTTTTAGTAAATTAATACTTTGAATTATTTGAAATTGGTTAATTAACCCATCATTGTAAGATTCAATAAAATTTCATCTATTTGACATCAAATATTGACACGTGATCAGCACATAATTCAATTTTAAGGATAAACTCGTGTCATTATTTAATGGTACGTAAAATGGATAAAATTTCATCAAATCAGACGATGAAAGGTTAACTAGCTGATTTCAAATAGTTCATGCGAGTTAATTTACTAGAAACATAATTTAGAGGGTTAATTTCAACTGAGTAGTTATTCATGGGGGCAGTTTAATAATTGTAACATAATTTTTTTGACCACGATAGTTTACTAAAAACATAATTTAAAAAAATATAATTTAAGGGGTCAATTTCATTCGATCGTCACGGCCGACGGCTCAAAGACAAATAATTCTTCTTCTTCTTCTCAAACGGCTTCACTTCTAGGTCGTTTCCCTTTTTTACTCACTTCGCAATCCTAAATATAACCAAACCACCACTTCCATTCCATTCACTTTCCAAATCCCACATAACAATCCCATTCTCCAGTTCCTCCAAACCTCACACTTCCAATTCCAAGTCCCATGGAATCCTATTCCTCTTCCTCCACAACCTCCTCCACCACCACATACTTGTCCCAAACCACGCAACGCACAAAGGATCCACTCCACTCTGTCCGAAAATCTTCATCGAAGCCATGGAAGAAGCCTGCAGTTGCACCACTTCCACCAACCCTACCAAGTGTCTACAAAGTCGACCCCATTAACTTCAGGGAGCTTGTCCACAGCCTCACCACCGCGCCAGAGTTTTTAGAGCCTCGGTCTCTCCAAAGCGTTGCGCCTCCACCTATCGATACCAACGTGTCCTCTCTACCAAATAACGTCCCTTCTTCGCAGATCGAAAACGTGTCCACTGCACCAAACCATGTTTCTTCTTCTTCTTGTTCTTCAGCTGCACCTGAAATCAGTTCATCATTTTCCGTGATATACAAGGAACTATCGGATACATTGGAGCTGAGTCCGATGCCTCGTCATGAGAAGGTGCAAGATAGCACGGTGGACTCGAGTTGTCTGAGACTGAATTTGCGGTCGCCGTCTTCCAATCATTGGGTTTCTTGGGAATCGTCCAGTCTGGAAGATAGCACTGTGCTCTAAGACTAGTTTAAAATCCCAAACTGTATTATTATACGAGCCCAATTTCTCAAAATTGTAGCATTTTTAATTAATTTTTGTTTTGGTTTTTAGCATCCTAGCCTCCTATTATAATAAGAACATAGCTATAGGCTGTATGTGATAATGTGAGTGGCTTTGCATTATTGCAGACAAGCTTGGCCAAATTCCTGTTATTGTTAATGTAAAATTAATTATGAAATCAAGGAAATTATTAATTGAGCGTACATTTCTGAATTCTTTATGCAGAATTTGATGAACTTCCACGCAAATGCTTAACTCACATTTCACTTAAACAAGATCTGTTCATGTGTTAAGTGTGTTAAGAGTGCATCACATGATACCATTTTAGTTGAGAAATTAATATGTGTAAATTCTTATGTTGTCCTAACTTTTATACAATATTTAGATGACGAACTTTAGATCCAACTGTTGAAAATGCACTATACGATCACTGCTGATGAATTACTCAAGCATTTATTTATTTATTTATTATTATTTTTTTTTTGGTAACAAAAGTTTAGGAGAGGATTGGTTATTCTTACCACTAGCGCCAAGGCATACGGACAATCTCGAGCTGAAAGGGTTTCACGTGTCACCTAAGGTACCGTTTGGTACGCAGAAGGGACGGGACGGGACAGGATGGGACGGAATAGAGGTTTTGTGTTATGTTTGGTACAAGCAGGACGTAATAGGACAGTTGTTCCATTTTGTGTTTAGTACGCGTTGGACGAAACAAAACCAAAAGATTGAATGACTAACTTACCCATGTTATGTCTGTTGTTTGGTACAATGTTTATGTGTGGGATGGGATGAGACATTTTTTTTTTTTTTTAACTTGTTCATATTACCAGTAGCTATCATTGATACGAATTTTCATGAGAATTTACAGATTGTGCACCAACGAAGATTGCTGGCAACGGAAATCAAACCTTGGTGGAGTGACATATAAGACAAAGGCCTTACCAATGGAGCCAACCCTAATTGGTAATTACTCAAGCACTTAAAAGCTAGTACTAAAACAATTATAAATGCATAAAACTAATGTCTCGTTTGGTGTCTAAAATTGAATTGAAATTAGACAACCCACTATATTTAAGAAATACTGAAAGGAGAAGGAGAAATGAAAAAATAGATCTAACTTGAAGGTAGAAGATGGGTTTCCCATTAAAGAAAGTTATTATCCAAATCCCTGCCACAGTAGGGTTATAAGGGATAAACTTTGAATTTTATAAGTTACTGAATTCATTCAAATCCTATCTAATTTCCTCAAAAAAAAAAAAAAAAATCACATCTACTTTCAATAAACCTTGAATTTTGTGAGTTATTGAATTCATTCAAATCTTAGACGTCAAATGAGTTCTAAGCAAAGGACTTTCAAATGACAGCTTTTCAATTTGTTGTTTGAAAGTTCTCCTAAATTTCGTACTTCTAGTCATTTTCGAGTCTCTCTATTCAACTTTTTGTAATGCATCCCTAACAAATTAATCCTTCTAAATTCTAACTTAACTAAACCCTTAACTTTTATAAAGCTTTAAAGTTTCTCGTTCACATGTCTATGTGAACCTTTTGAAATTCTTTTAGGTTTCTACCTGAGGTTATCATCTTCCTCCTTTAAGACTCATAATCACCGACCACGTGTATTTTTTTATTATTGGTGAAAATTTATTTATCATGAGCCCACTATTACAAAATCTTGACTCCATTATTTATTAAAACGCGGTATTATGGTCACCATTCACCTTGATATTACCACCTTGGCCGGAGGGGTACAGATGTACAATACAGTCGCTATCTTGCAGATCAGTAACCATGACTGCCACTAATGTAACAATGATTGAAATTTGCCGCCACAAAAGTTTTTCAAAGGACCGGCCGCTGCAAACAAGTGGATGTGAGTCTGTCCTACAAGCTCACTGAAAAGTCTTTTGGTTTTTCTGTGTTTTGTGTGTATTTTTGTTACGAAGATGCAAAATGTTCGGACATTTTACACTGGTAGGCCGGAAAATTTTCCAATGAGAAAAATGTAAACAACCTATCTTGGCTGAAAGATGTAAAAAGAAAAAAATGTAGATTACATATTTTTTACATCTTTTGAAGGTGGACTGCACCATTCAAAAAGAGAAAAATCAGTAGTATCCCAACTTACATCTCTCACTTGAGATGCTATCAGGGTATTAAGCCATCTCCAACCGAAAGGTTCAGAGGGTCAGATGGCCGAAAATAGTCCGAAAATCGTCTCCAACCGAGAGCTAGGCCAGAGCGCTCGTGGAATCTGAGAGGGCCCCACAAAATTTGAAAGGGCTAGCCAGAAAAATCATTATTCCTGTCAGTTATAACCGATAGGAATCCTTAAGCTAAAATTCAAATGCAATGGCTAGCTGATTGCATTTGATTTGATTTTTTTTTTTTTTTTTACAGTTTTATTATTATTTTTTATTTACAAAATTTTTCCTATAACTTCTATTTCACAAAATTTGTTTCATTTTATATTAAATTCTATTTTTTTCCTATAACTTCTATTTCACAAAATTTGTTTCATATTTTTTTTAAATTATAGTTTTTTCCTATAACTCCTAAGCCATTATACAACATTAAATTAAATTAAGTACCATGAAACAACATTAAACAATATGAAACAACATTAAATAACATTAACCAACATACAAATTATACAACATAAAAAAAAAAACATTTAACAACATGAAACTTAAACAATATTTTTAAAAACATTTAACAACATAAACGCCTACTTCATGCTTCTTTTGGCCCAAAGAAGTGTAACAAGATCCTATGGCCCGACGGTTTTTGGTGACAGGGCTAAAATAAGTCCTATGGCTCCTTGGCCCTCGGTTGGAGACAGAGGCAAATATGGCCCTGTACTGTTCATTAAAATATTAATCTCTTAGAAAGCTAGAGGGTTAAAACGAGTCATCTAGCCAGCTCTCGGTTGGAGATGGCCTTAGATGATGAATTCAAAAACACTTTTGACAAGAAACTCAAAACTTTCAGCAACTCAACCTCATTGGGAAGGACAAAAAGCCTGAATTTGATTAGATAAATCGGAATTGAATTTCACACTCATCTTTTATTTCTAATCGTCAAATTAAATAAATCAAACAAAAATAACTGATAAAATTAAACAGATGTGTATAAGATGCTTATCAATTCCATATAGATAAGAGCACATATGAAAATGAATATGTTCTGCATAATCTAAAAACATCATTCATCTATATATACACAAAGAATAGTACATCTTTTCATAGCCAAAATTACAAATCTGAATTACTTTTAGCCGAGGAATTCTTCCCGAAAGTTTACGGTAACGAGTAACAGCAACTGTTAGCACAAAAAAGTGAAACTATCGCAGACGAGTAGAAGTTCCTTGTTCTTCGTGTCCCTCCTGAAGTTGAGGAGAAATCAGCCAGTGTTATGGTCATGCAGAGCTATTGATCCCAGTAGTCTCTAAGTTGTGACATATGGAGCAAAAGTTCATCCCTGCCGAAGCCAGTTATGTTAGAACCAATCAAATGTTAAGGATATATTATACAACAATTTGCACAGTTTTATTTCGAACGGTAAAACTCAACAACAAATACAATATATTAAAACATAAACACTTAGTGTAATTATATATAAAATCACAAATCACTGACTTGTTCTTTGACGATAGAGGCTTGTAGAAGCAATCTCCTAAGACAGAAATTCGTCCCTACACCAGTGCAGCAGTTCGATGGACGTCTATCTTGCAGGATACAACTATCTAATCCAAGTTCTTGCACTCGAACTTGGATTCTTGGCGAATTGGTTGTGTGGTTCTCAGCGAAATATGGAGGAATGAATTTGGAAAAACTTGATTGTAGTTTCTGATTTTATTGCCATATATATAATGGCATAATGTGAACTTATCCAACCATTCATGCTTATCAGTTTTTTAAAAAGAAAACCGAATGCAACTGTTAAAAACTGAACGTAACTGTTCAGTCAGTTTTATCCTTTCGGAAAAAACTGAATCCAAAAAAAAATCAAAAACGTAACTTGTGTTTTTCGTCCATCCGAGCCCAAGGCCCATCTTTGACATTTAATATATATATCCAAACTCTCCAAGTCTAAGGCCCAAGGTCCATGATTTTGGCTCAATTCATTTCAAACTATAAGTGAGTGAAATTACTTATAAAGACTTAGTATGAAAAGGGTTTGGGCGATGTGGGACTGCCAGTCCCACATAACTTAAGTTTCCAACAAGTTACACTGCTAGTCATGATCCACGGGGAGGTGCGTACGCGGTAGTTTTCTTTGATAAACTGCTGAAAATCCCTGGGGTTCTTATCTGCCTTTTTACCTTTGCCGGCCCTTATTTTGTCACACTTGGTGAAGACAAAAGTCATTTGTATCTAAAAGCAGAAAGAGCACACGAATTATGAGCAATTTATGATGAGGGCTAACAGAAAGGTATTTCATATCGGAGAGCAGTGTACATTGTTACGTCCAAGCAAATTAGCGTAATCTAGGACGGTTTTCTGAGGCGGAACACTAGCATCAACAAGGAGCAGGACGGTAACAAGAGTATGTCTGTTCCAAAAGAAACCTTTGGTGAATGCAGACCAATCCATTCGAGCAGCTTCTGGAGCTTTAGCAACCCTACAAACAAAGAAAATCACTGGACATGAGGAAAAAAAAAGAAAAAAAAGAAAAAAAAGAGGAGATGGCAAAGGTATTTTATTCAATTACTGTATATTGTTATTGAAATTACTTGTAAGTGAGAGGTTTTAGGTTCGATTCTCGCAAAAACAAATTTGAACCACATTATTACTAATCCATTGTAAGGCTAACCCCACCCTCTCTCCATTTAGATAATATTGTTTGTTCATAAAAAAATAAAAATTAAAAAAAAGGTTTTTTTAGTTTTGTAAGGTTATAGAAAAGGCAATCTGTCTAATAAGGCCATTTGGTTACAAAGGTGGATATTTGCTGAGTTTGAGCTTAAGGATCTTTAATTAATTTTCTCTTTCAAAGATTGAGCTTAATTATTAGTATCATTATTACACATATAATTTTGTTTGTTTTTCTATTAGTTTAATATTTTAATAATCCAATTTGAACTACAAAGATGGAGATTGAGCTGAATTATTAAGGGAAGTTATGACATTGGTCACAAAATTAGCCTCCCTAAATGCTTGACTTTTGTATGGAAAGAGAGAGAGAAACCAACAAGATAAAGAGGGTCAACTTCTTATGTTCCTAGGAGTTGTAATCAAATTGCTCATGAGCTAGCTGAATTTGCAATGTTGTGCGATGATGTTGTAGTTTGGGATGACAGAGTATTTGAATTCGAAACACAATGAGTTAAAAAAGAAAGTTTTAGCCACCACAACAATCCACTACTTGCAAAGATATCCATCACTCAATTTCATCTTTTACAAAGTTCAGTTTTATGCTTGATGAAGATTAATTTTGTAGTTGATTCGTTTGCTTATTTAGAAGATTCTAAAGCTAAAGTTGGTGATCTTGATTCATTTAATTCTTTTTTTGTAGTTGATGTGTTTGCTTATTTAGAATATTCTAAAGCTAAAATCAATGATCTTGAATCATTTTATTCCTTTAGTAGAATTCATGATTTTTTGTGACAATATAATTGGGTCAGGTTACGTTGAAAGTTTGTTAATGTAATTTTATTTTTCAACACAATAAAATAAATTCAAGACGTTTAACTTATATGTAGAAAAAACTAAATTTAAAATTTAAGAGACGAACTACAATAATTAAAATATACCCTAAAATAAATAAAAACAACGATTACTTATTCAGATGAATTAAAACGACGACGTAAGAGGGACTTCATATCCCAGGTATAGAAGGCCGACTCTGCAAGTCAGAAGGAACACCGTCATTAGCCTTTGGGCTCACACAACTTCCGAATCGCCGATCATCTCTTCCGTCCACAATGTCATGGCTGGCAAAATCCATCGCCAACTCGCTCAAGCTGGACGACGACGACGGCGATTACCACGTCCCAAACCCTAGCTCCAACAATGACACAGACCCAAATTCAACCCGACCCGAATCAGGTTCACCATCAGCTCCCACCGTCAAAGGTGACATTTCCGAGCTCACCAATACCCTAACCCGCCAGTTCTGGGGCGTCGCGTCCTTCCTTGCCCCGCCTCCTGATCCCACCACCCCTCCTGCTCCCAACCCGTCCTACCCGGCCCATCCCTCCGATCTGGAACCCTCCGACGAGGACGTGATCGCCGGAATCCGCAGCGACTTCGCGGAGATCGGCGGGAAGTTCAAGACCGGGATCTCGAAGCTGTCGAGTAACATAGGGGTTTCGGAGTTCACTAAGATCGCGTCGAATTTGCTGCAGTTTGGATCCGAAGAGGAAGCGAAGGCAGCTGGTGCTGCTCTTGGTGTGACCCAGGAAGTTCTTGCGTTCGTCAGGAATATCTCTTTGCATCCGGAGACTTGGCTCGATTTCCCCCTCTCCGATGACGACGAAGATTCAGATGGTATGTTCTGCTTCGATTTTACCTTTTTTTGGGTAATTCAATTCAATGTGCTTTGTTTTCATGTATCATTTAGCTATCTTGTTGTAAACTAGTGTTAATTTGTGGTCAATGGAGTGTTCGTAAATGTTCAATTTGAGGTATTTGTGTTGCCCATGTGGAGTTTCCAATTCGTATTTGTTTCAATTGCAGCTTTGAATTTAATGCATTTCATAGTGAGGTAAATCTCAGTTCAGGTTATGATTTAAGGGCTTAAAACTATAATTTTTTGGGTGAATATCGAAAATCCAAGTGCGTCTTTTTGTTGATGTGTTTGATCAATAATTGAGAACTTGTATGGAGCCGAGATAAGAACATTGTGGGTTTTGGTTTTCCAGATTTTGAATTGTCTGATGTTCAACAAGAGCATGCGCTGGCTGTTGAACGGCTTGCGCCATCATTGGCTGCTCTCAGAATTGAACTGTGCCCTGAGCATATGAGTGAGGCTCACTTTTGGATGATTTACTTCGTGCTCTTGCATCCTAGACTCAGTAAACATGATGCTGAGCTTTTGTCTACACCCAAGGTGAGTTGATTCTTTGCAGTATTGACCAAACACTCCTGTTTCGTTGTTCTTTTTCATTGCCATTGTTTGCTTAGTTATTTTTTGTTTGAGCACCTATGGTTTGCTTGACTTGATTATATGTCTGCAGATAGTGGAAGCTAGAGGCATGTTGTCTCATCAGCTGAAGAAGGGAACTAGTGATAAGCCAGAGACATACATTTCAGGAAGTGACGCTATTTATGCGAAAGGAGTTTCTGATTCCCCAAAAGAACACCATCTTTCTGTGCCACCTAGTGCTGAATCTGACTTAGCACCTCCCAATACATCTACCACCAGATCAGCTCCTCTCCCACAGGCAGTTGATGTCGAGACAGACAAGCACCCAGTCCAGAGTAGTGAAATCCAAATTATTGACAAGCCTGTTATTGAGGAAGGACCTGTGAAGAAGACCAAATATCAGCTGCCACTCTCTAATTCTTCCTCTAAAGTCGTGGATGAGAAATATGAGGATGATGGTGATGATTGGTTGAAAGAGGAAACCTCAGAGATGGATGGTGTTGGTGGAATCTCCATCCATATAGAGAATGATGAGGATGTATCATTCAGTGATCTTGAGGATGATGATGGAGATGCGCCATCAAGTTACAAGAAGGTTACATCTGGCTCTGATTCTTCGGCAAAAGACTCAAGAGATTGGGTTCAGCTTAGCAGAGCCTCTGCCGATTTGAATAGGGACAGCAACTCTGTTGAGATTAGACATTCTGGGTCTGGCCAGGTAAGTGCTCGTAAATCGGAGACCAAAGAATCTAATGACTGGCTTGACATTGAAGACATTGATGTTATATGATGACTTCATAACAACCCTTTTTAGGTCAATATGGCCTGTTCTTTCCATTCATCCCTAATTATTGTGAATAGATGATGAAATTGTGTTGGCTATGGAAACTGTATTATTGTACATAAAGCCTGATACTGCATTACTGTTTCTGGTGAAGAATGTGTCTATAAATGTAGTGAGATACAACAACGTGCAATAATCTTGATTTATTTCATTTGAAATTATATTTTGTTAAGCTCATTCTGGTCAATGCTGGAACCCTTAATTGCCGAGGTTTGACTTCTAATCCTTGATAGTTCCCTCGAGGACGTTAGATTTTTTGAGAATTCGTTGATGGCCAAAGTTGAAGGTTTTTATAAGACTAAGATAGATATGAATGTTTCCTCATTTGTTGAAAGAAACTTAGAGATGCATGTGCCTTTAATTGCTTGATGAAGTTTGGTTATCAGAATTGCTGGATCCTGAGAGATGTTAAGTATATCGACTAAGAGTGATCACATATATTCATATGAAATTAGCTCACTGTTTAATTGTTTAAAGCAGTTCGTTATCATAATAGCTTGTGACCTGACATATGCTAAGCATACCGAGAAAGGACTAATCTCTCATGTTTGGTCGAATGTTATTTTCATTTCCAAGATTTATGTGGTGTGTTCTGATATTGTCTTAGTTTTGCATTAGTTTCGCATGAATAAACCTCCATTAATCATTCTGATAATATGGTAAAATGTTAATGAGTAGATGTTTTAATCGGGGCATAATGCCAGGGCCCTCACTGAGCGAATTTGTATTCCAGAATAACGATTTCCTTGCACCTTATAGGGTGAGGTTCAAATCCGTTTAATGTACAGTCGTGAGTTTTATTCCTTTTTGGTGCTCGAGTTCTCTGAAGCTTTTACTGTGATTTGCTCATGTTTTTCTTCTGTTATGGAGGTTTACTGTTATTGAGCGCATCTCCGTGTTTATAACTTTTCATTCAGAGAGGCGCATAAATTCGTGCGTTTGGCTACAACTCACTTCACAACATGTTGCGATTTGCAGTCAGAGAAATGGCTGTTTTAGTGTAAGGAGCTAAAGCAATGCTCTTTCGTATTTGTTTCATATCTTAGATTATGTCCACAGGGAAAAGAAAACGTTAAGGACAAAGTACAATGGTTCGGCAGGTTTTCGTTATGTCCAGTTGGTACCCGTACTGATGGTGGTGGCTGCGGTGGTGATGATGGTAGCTACCCATACGTGGATGTTAAAAAAACCTGTGGAGAAGATCCGATTACGAAAACTTATCTGTACAATAAATGCCCCATGGGTGGAGATTGGGGTTCATTTTTTCCTAGTAAATACACAAAAAAGAATAAGACAAAGCTTTACAATGAAACATCAACTAAGCTCAAGCTACGAAGAGGGGAGTGGCGATGCAGACCCTGATTACAGACTTATTTACAGGCACAACCACACATACAACACATTAAAGTACCACGAAATTAACAGCAACTTATGACCTTATGGGTCCAAAACTGCTGGAAAGACGCTCCAGATGAGACCAAACCAAGCTTCCAAGTGAAAATCTTGGTCTTTCTTCTTCTTCTTCTTCTCTTCTTTCGGCTGCCTTCTGGCTCGTCCTCGATGAGGAACCCTGAAGAGCCCACTTCTGTGATTTGTGAACTGCGATTACGGATTCTCCAATCTCTTTTGTCACTATCTCCACCGTGCTCTGACTTATATCATGTCCTGAAGCATCTGTGACATAGATTGATCCTACAGCTTTCTCACCGTGTATTCCAAGTGAGATTCTTGATATTGATAACCCGTACTCTCTCAGAACCCTAGTGATGTCAGATAACAGCCCCATTCGGTTTTTGGCACAGAGGTCCAGCCTCAATCCCTGCAAAATGTTTTATTCACAATTTAATCCAGTAATGCTAGAAAGATTAAATTTTTTAATCGTAAGATTCATAAGATCCAACGGTTGGATAAATTGACATACCTGTGAGATCCTCCTCTCTATAGCAGCAATCAAGCATAGGGCAAGCTTGTGTCTTTCACTCTCTGTGTTCAAAGTGTATCCGTCCTTGTGCCGTACAAAATATTCCTGTGACGCGACATTCCAGCATTCGTACGTATTTAAACATCAAACACTATACAACGTGACAGATTTCAGTTGCCATGTACAAGGTCAATGAAAAGTGTGTACCTGATCAGCCATGGTGCCCCTGGAGGAAACCACCGCATGGAACACCGCGTACTGCAAGTCGGTTAGGGCGCACACCGTGTCAAACAGTAGCTTAGGACGGTCTCGGCTTCTCACGTTCACAACCCAATACCCTTTCTCCTTACAACTCTCGATGTTCACATGTGTCCGATCGCAACCCCTCTTGTGTACACTACTACCACCTCCGTCGCAACCACGACAGCTTTCGTAGTCGTCATCAGCATACATCAACTGGTGTAGCCGCCGCTCCGTGTGGGTGTGGCCGCCTGCCGGGGTGGTCAGCTTTACGCTCCTCTTCTCACCCTCCTCATGATGGGCCTCAATCACATTCTCCAGCTGCTCCTCTACATGCGCAAGTCTTACTGGGTCCGTAATTGGCCCTCCTTTCAGCCCGTCTTCGATGTAGAAAATGACGGCTGCCCGGGCACTGTGGGTCCAAGCCATGGCAGCAGTAATGTGGCAGCCCAACTCCACAAGGACCGCTGATATTTCGGACATGAGTCCCGGTCGGTCCTTGCTGGTCATCTCTATGGCCAAGTCCTTCAGTTCCGGTGTCACTTCTCTTCGTAGGCATACTCTCGCCTGTTTTGAAATCTCACCTCTCCTTGCACACAGTGCCTGAAGAATTTTGTTAATTATAATTAACACCAAGGGAAAGAACAGAACGAAGAGTATGAGGTCGAGATGTGAAATGATAAAATTTGTTAGAACAGTAAATGTTAGGGAGTATGGGTTTTGTTTGGCACTTGCTGCCTGGCTTTATATACTGTGCATCGTTACAATTTTGTTGGATGTCTCCCAAGGAAACAAACCTGATTCTATCTAGACCTAGTCTTGTTGGATAAATTTTCAGTATATCAAGAACAAGGTCTGGTACATCAACTGTTTATCCAAGTGGACACTTGAACAAGAAAAATATTGACACTTGTTGTGTACCTGACCATGTTTCCAATACACTGAAAAATCTTTCGACTTGTTAGGCTCAATTTAAATAGATAGATTAAGAAACCAAAATGAATCACTACACTCTAAAACTCAGTACATAACAGATATAGTAAAAGTTGTATTATACTTTACCATGTGATTATCAACGTGGTGTTACGAAACTACTACAACCCATTGAGTTTTATGCATATAATTTAGATGAATATGTATGGCACACGCCGCGTTGTGCTAACGTCACATACAAAAATTTCTCTGATTGGGAGAGAGGGAGAGAGAGGGAGGGATGAAACCTGCTGAATATAGAGTATGAGGCTTTCGTCAGTGATTTTGTTTCCGAGTTGGTCCGTCACGTGGAACACTGCAACAACCATGCAATCAAAACAGACCCACATGAAAATCCGGCATATAGTACTCGTTGATGACACACATATCTCAGAAAGTTATCAGAATTATATACAAAATTCTCCGATCCTCAATAGAAATATTCAGAAACATAGTTTTTTATATAATAAAATCCGATGATGTTATTAGAATATAACACAAGGACTGCGTATATGATTTTGAAGAACGATAAAGGGGATTAGGAAGTGTAATTACCGTCCATAAACCATCCACCATCGGATGATATGTACGACTTAGAAATAAGAAGATCAAGATCAGTCAAAACTTGGACCATTTCCAGTAAAATCCCATGCTTGTTTGCACTGTCAACCTGTAAAATATCAGTTAAAAACAACATTATGCATAAAACTTTAATTTCATCTCTTCCTGCATGCGTCTGTCATTTTCTCAGATTTAAAGTTCACTGAACCTGTGAATTTCAAGGGTTTCTAACTTTCTATACATGGTTTGTATACAACTGGATGACGTCATCTGGTTAGGGTTCTGCCAGTGCATGCCAGGAACTTAGTTGCATATGGATAGACAAAGTTATAACAAAGATCATATCGTGCATGGAACTGTTAACTCTGACGTGGAAACTGAAACGCAAAACGGCAAATGAATGACGACGACAACAAAAGCTTACCACCTCCTTTCTCTAGAAACAACTAATATTTGATACTTACTTTTCTAGTGGCCCTCCACTCAGTGGACATCACAGAACAGCCTCCCGTATACTTTATAGGGAATTTTAACGAAACACTTAAGGTGTTGTTCATTTTTAATGAAAAAAATATTTTTACTCTAAAAAGTCACTTCTGATATTATTCACTTACAACACATTTTTGTCATTTTGATTAAAACTTAAAGTTTTCAAACATTTTTCATTAGTTTTCCTTACTTTATATTCTGTAGCTCTCCTCCTTCTTTATTATATGCAGGTCAAGTTGGGATTAGAGGAGTGGGATTGTGGGTTGCTAATTACTTTGAATTAGATTAGTTGCTAATTACTTTGAATTAGATTAAATTGTTTAATTAGTCTTTAGTTTCTAATGATCATCATTGATCATGACATGTATCTATAAGTATTTATTTGTCGATAACTTCGGCCTATCAAGTATTGCAAATTCGTATTCAATACTAGCAACGACCTTTGTTTTTAAATCTATGGGTGTCAAACTTTGCCACTAGAAAACCCAACAAACAAAATAAATGGACAAAGAAGTTCCATAAACCATGTCCATCACCCACCAACAAGATAAAAGATAGACTAATTAATTGGCTAAAAAAATGATTGAATTTATTAAATAATATGAACAATGATCTAACCTTCACAAGCGTGCAATCTTTGTATGAGTCATTATCGATACAAACCCTGCGGATTCCAAACCAACCCAATTATATGATTCTCTCCAGCAATTTCCAACACAAAATTAATAAACTTATGTTCATATACGTACCATGGAGGATAGATTCTTTCAATGAGGTATTCGAACTCCGGATCAAAATAGGGCTGGTAAATTATTTCCATATCTTCTTCTTCCTCTTCTGCTCAGAAGATGTATGAACAATTTGCAGCAGCTTTGTTACAATAAGGAGATAGCAGCATTTGCTGGAGGTTATTAATTCCTATCTGTACAGATATGCATGTCTATATAAGAAGGTGTTTGAGACCATTCAAAACACATGCTGGAAACAACGCGTAGACTCAAAATAACTTGTAGAGGTGATAAAAGAGCGGCGTCGTCTGTAGCCATTAGCTTGTTTGTTAAGTCAACTAATAAACATATAGAGATGAATTACGGCACCTAATGATTATCTTATACGATTAAAATATTATATCCAGTGTTCGAAGTTACATCACAAATCCTTGAGATACATAGCTTTGTTCTAGGGAAAGACTAAGATTTTCCTAAGGGTGGAGGAAATCTACTCGAAAAGGATTGGTTGACCCGGAAAAACTGTGGAAATTAAGAAATCAAGGAAGAACGAAGAATGGAGGAAATCAAGAAAAGAAGAAGAAGGAATAAAACAAAACCAGGCGGATCTTTTATTCAACCAAGAAAGACATAAAAAATTCCTTGCACCGGAGGCCCTGAGTTTGGATCCCCTTCCCAATATCGTATAAAAAAAAAAAAAAAAAAAAAAAAACGTAAAAATTACCTAATTTTAAGAAATTGTATGGTAAAGAGAATTAAATTCTGTTGTAAAGAGAGTATTTAATTGTGGAGAACTAGAAAACCAAGAATAAATCCCAGATCAAATCTTTGAATAAACACTAGAAATTCATCGACATTGATCAAAATATACTTTCTAGGTCGGAGAAAGATAACGGAAAAATTAACAATATGAATCAACAAGATAAACACTCACATATACAGACACTGCTGCTTGATTGTACAGAAGCGAAATTCACAGAGAGCTGAAGAGAGAGAGAGAGAGAGAGAGAGAGAGAGAGAGAGAGAGGCAGCTGTTCTTGTATATATTCTAAGTTTAGAAAGTTTTTGTTGGTCACAAAACACAGAACCGAACAGATGGGCTATGAAAACAACAATTGTATAACCCACCCAACTCTCAGCTTCTTTTTGGGAATTTTAACGAAAAACTCTCGGTACTATTTACTTAAACAAAAATCATATTTTTACTTAAAAAGTCAATCCTAGTACTATTCATTTTACCATTCATTTTATTGTTATAGTTGAAACTCAAAGTTTTTACGACATTTTCATTAATTTTCTTTTTTTTTTTCTTTTTTTTTCTTTTTTTTTTCTTTTTCTGTTTTCAATTTCTCTTAATTTTAGTTTTCATATTCGCAATACTATCTTAGTGTATTTGTTGGGGTTTTACTTTAACAAACGTGTTGTTCACGGGCTCATAGGTGTGATTGGGGTTTTCTAGGACGACTCAGAGTTTGGCTGCCAATGAGCCACGTATGAACCGTGCCGCCACGTGGCAGGGCACCGACTCCTCAATTTTACATGATCGATGTTTTCTGCAAGTGCGGCGGCTCGTTGTATCAATGTTTGTGAAAGTCCACATTCAAATTTCCAGACTGTGGTTTAGAATCTGTTTCGGGATTACAGCTATTATTAGAGAGACAAACATATTTTCTGTCGACGACTGGTTTGGTCATCTTAGGGTTTTACTTGGTCAGCCAAGACTCCTCAGCCTTTGTACGTGGCTCTTTCTCTCCAATTAGAGTAACCATCAAGCCAGTCAAATGGACACCGGATGATGATGTGGCAAGATCATGGTACAATGGACCTGGTTGAGTCTTTTCGATTCTTCGATCTAATGCCACTTGCAGTGCAGCAGTCGACACCTCCCCCCGTTTATGTGTTTATACTTTCAAAAAAATTTCTTGCGGAGAGATGTTTTCAAGTGGAGGGTATTTAAGCTGTACTCTACATGTTATAATATAAGTAGAGAAAATAATATACTTTTACATTTTTCTTCATTTGTATTAGTTATAATAAATGAAGTACCCACTTAAATACTAGCACTTTAAAAAATTTCTCGTGCTTAAATGACATATGTTATATTACGTTACGTATAATTATGCAGATGACGATTTAGATTCAAAGATATAACATTAGTAAATGAACACTTACAAATGAACTCACATCACGGTGTTTCAATCACATTAAAAAAATCGATCAATTGATACAAAATACATGTGGCGAGTTTTGAGGTTAACACGTAAACAACACATATTAGACAACCTGTCCTGATACTATGGAAAAAGTTGAGGTTTCATAATAAAGCTAATTGGCAATAGTAGCCCTGCAACAACTTATAATCACATAAAAATTCCTTCTTTGTCCGATGTGAGATTTATACTCACAACATTGAGAAGCTAACATGGAAGCATATGATGTTCCCATCACCGTAAAACAAGTATATAATTGTAAACACGAGAAATTCCTGAAACAAGCGACAAGAATACGTGTACAAAATAATATTTTGTATTAATGATTTTGGGGTTACAATCTCTTTGTAATTTGGTCCTCTGATTCTATCTTCGTAGGGTGTGGGTTTGTGGATGAGTTGTTGATCCAAAGGGCCGTCGGGGCTTGATCTAAGGATGCACAGCTGATGAATGGATCTTCAAGGGGCGTTGGGCTTGATCTTGAAGGTTGATGGATGAACGGATCTTCAAGGGCTTTTGGGCTTAATCTTGAAGGATGAACGGATGTGTGGATTTGTTGAGGTTGTTGATCCAAAGGGGCCGTTGGGGCTTGATCTTAGGATGAACGGATGATGAGCGATGAACACTTTCTTCAAGGGCCGTCGGGGCTTGATCTTGAGTTGGTGGAAGTTCTTCAAGGGCCGTCGGGGCTTGATCTTGAAGGTGGATTTGACGAAGAACGAAGATTGCTTTCTTGATCCTTCGGGATTTGCTTGAGAGCTTTAGAGTTTCAAGGCTTCTTTCTTTCTTCCTTCCTTCCTTCCTTCCTTCCTTCTCCCCCCAAATGAATGCCTTTGGCCTCATATTTATAGAATTCCAAAACTTGATTTTTGGATTTAAATAATCAGATGAAATAAATCGTTTCTGCCAGGTATTGACACGTGTCATATTTGATGACTTTTCCAATTTATTTCGATTTTTTGTTGAATCACACGCTACATGTAAAATTTATGTGACACGTGAACGTTGAAATTTTAATTATTGATCAACATTCATTTCACCGAAATTTTGATGTCTACAAATGCCCCCACTTCAAGGCGCGTCGTAGGCATGTGCTTGTCACGTGTAGAAGATGCGTTTTGAAGTCCCTTAATGTAGATGTCAACCCAAGGGCCGTTGGGGCTTGATCTTGAGTTGGTCTGAAAATTTCTTCAAGGGCCATCGAGGCTTGATCTAAGGATGTGGGGGAAGATTTTCTGGTTTCCTCCAATCGTTGATTTTCCACAGGCTTAATCTTGAACTGGGCTGGAGGATTCTTTTGGTCTCCTCCGTAGGTCTGAACTTACTCCTTTTATCTGGAGTTGAATTTGATTCAAGGGTGGTGAACACTTGATTTTGAATCGGACTTGTGATTTCTTCAAGGGCCATCGAGGCTTGATCTTGAACTGGGCTGGAGGATTCTTTTGGTCTCCCCCTACCGTTGATTTTCCTTTGTGCTACTCTTGAATTGGGTAGCAGGATTCAGACACATGGCAGGCAAGCACGAGGTGGAAGTGATGACCTGTTTCTTTGTTCAATCTTTCCCCAATTCGTATTGAAGAGGGTAGATCGGAAAACTGACTCCAAGTGCCGTCTGATTGCTCTTTTCACTTTGCCATGCGAGTAATAACAAGGACAAAGGAAAGGACATGGAGAAAGCATGATATAAGATACCTTTGCTTTTGAAGAAGCAGCGAATGAATCAGCACATATATTTGTTGTGCTTGTCTCCACATGCTTTGATGTATCATTTTCACTTGTCTTACTTGCTCCCTTTGCAGAAGTGGTATTTCCTTATGCAGGTTTGGCATCTTCTCGTGTAGTATTCGTCCTCTGATGCAGGAGTTGAATGCAACCTTTGCATTTAAATGGTGCTTCAAAACATTACTTCTCAGCGACGATGAGTACTCGAGAGCAATGCAAGGTAAGCAACCAGGCAAAGGTTCCAGGCAATCAGTTCCAGGTCGGAAGTTTGATTTCAGGTTCCGACTGATAACTCTATTTCCCCTTTTCCTGCATGTAAGAGCAAGGACAAAGAAAAGGACAGGGAAAAAGCATGATATGAGATACCTTTGCTTTCGCCCTTGATGATATGAGATACTTTTGCCTTGGTGTCATTTGTTTGCAAGGGTATTCCCGGAGAGAAAGAAAACTGAGCATTTTGAGATGTTTTGCTGGGAGTGTACTCTCGGAGGTGAGGAAGAGTTGGGCATTTTTTTTTTTTCTTGTTTGCAGGTTTGCCTTGCCATAAAAGATGAAGGTCGACATATATAGGGATTTCCCAATAGCAAGTGGTGGTACTGTTCTTTTACCCTTGTCGACAAATGTTTTGATCCCGCAAATTCGGCTTTTTGAAATAGTGACGACTCTTCGATCTTTGAATACGCCTCTTTGGTTTCTGAACGACGCCTCTTCGATTTCTGAACGAGCGTCTCTTTTGACAAAGTGGCACGCGTTTTCTGAAAAGCAGAGAAAGCGTCGCCGAACTTTGCGCTCGTCAGCTAAAGATGTGTAGCTGCGATGATGATCTCCACGTGATCTTTTGACAAAGTGGCACCCGTGCTCTGAAAAGCCGCGAAAGCGTCGCCAGCCTCCACGTGTTTTCAACTTTGTCGGAGATCTTTTGACAAAGTTGAACGCGTTTTCTGGAAAGCCGAGAAAGCGTCGCCTAACTTATGCCGGAAAATCCAGCTTTTGAGATTTGCAGAGCGATGTCTCTTCACTTTTGAACAAGCGGCCCTTCGATTGCTGAACCAACGCCTCTTTGATTTCTGAGCAAGCGCCTCTTCGATTTCTGAGCAAGCGCCTCTTCGATTTCTGAGCAAGCGCCTCTTCGATTTCTGAGCAAGCGCCTCTTCTTTCTTTATAGAGGTATTGACCATCTCTAACATGCACACTTTGAAGGTTGCTCATTCCTTAGCTTAGAATTGAGTCTCAGCAGTGATCCGGTTGCGCCGCTTCAAGGTAATGTATGGTGTCCTTCTTTCTTATCTTCTAACGGTCCTCTTACAGGTGAAGACTCAGTGATGCAGGACGCCACAACAGCTACAATAGTAGCTAGGAACCTCCTTACTCCAAAAGATAGTAGGCTGCTGTCAGGACGGTCCGATGAGTTGGCCGTTCAAGAGTCCCTCGCTCTTAGTGTTCAATGTGCGGGCTCTGTGTCCAACATGGGCCAACGCCTGCTTGCTCGGTCCCGTCAGGTGGAATCATTGATGGCAGAGGTGGAAGATCTTAAGCAGGAGATTAAACAGCTTAAGTACGAGAATAGAAGTTTGCATGTGCTTGCAAATAACTATTCGTCGGGCATGAAGAGAAAGCTTGAGGAGCTTGATGATCGTCAACGGTTTGCAGCTTTCTTCCAAAGGCACCTCTTTCCTGGGTCATCCAGCGTTCCGCCAAGTATTGAGGCCTCGAATGCTCTATCTCCGATGCCTCTTACTCCAATGCCTTCTGCTCCGAGAGTGTTGCCACGTAGTGGGGCTTCACGTACACATCCTTTGTGAAAGCTTCAACTTTTTTTTTTTTTTTTTTTTTTTTTTTTTTGTACACATTTGTAATTTCTCGAAAATCAATGAACATGCTTTGTTTTATTTAGTGTATTATGCTAAATACAGATAAAACATATACATCACTGTCCATCATCAATTTTTTTTTTTTTTATTCATTTGTTTGCTTTCGGTGGCACTGATCCACCGTTCACTTATATATATATTTCAGATGGTGCCAGAAGCACCACCATCGTTTTTTTTCTTTCTTTTTATTATATATATATATATTTTTCTTTTTTTTCTTTTTTTTTTTCACATGATTCCAGAAACATCATCATTTGCTATTTTTTTTTTATTATTATTCTTTTTGAAAGATGTTTCCCAACATCATCATTGCCACTTTTTTTTTTTTTTTTTTTTTTTTTTTTTTTTTTGCCTTCACGCCTGAAGCCTTTATAATTATATATATATATATATATATATATATTTCAGATGGTGCCAGAAGCATCATCATTGTTTTTTTTTTTTTTTTTTTTTTTTTTTTTTTTATCATTCTTTTGAAAGATGCTTCCCAGCATCATCATTTTTTTTTTCTTTATATAGCCATCTGCAAGATTGAGTTCGTGGGTGAAAACCCAGGCGAGTCCCAGAGAAGACGGAGAAGATCTTTGGGTGTGAGTTGACAAACTTTGATTTTGTCAATCACATTCAAAGGCAGCAGCAGAGGGAAGCAGACGGATGAGATCTTTGGGTGTGAGTTGACAAACTTTGTTTTTGTCGATCACATTCAAAGGCAGCAGCCATGGCGGAAGTGCAGAAGCAGCCAGAGCTTGATGCAGAGTGTAAGGCGTCGAGTTTGAAGACCGGCTAGTCGTTTGACAGCGGTCAATAAAGCTCTTCGTTGGCGTCGAGCTTGAAGTGGAGGAATTGCAGCGACGCTAGGTGATAAGCAGAGGGCAGATCACAGCCACTGAGCACAGCCAATAGACTCCTATTGCACTACCTGCCGTTGTGGACGAAGCGGACTTATTTTCTTCACCTGTGGATACACCTGTTAAGCTTTGCAGAGACTGATCAAGCTCTCAACATGCCATCACTGCTTCCATTGCGTCAACTCGAACATGTTGCCGCAATTGTTTTTTTTTATTTTTTATTTTTTATTTTTTTATTTGAAGGAGTGAAGCAAATCAAGGTCTTTCTCATCCATGACTCCAACATCCTCATCGACTCCAACATCTGTGTTGCCGTGACCACAGGTTTTCCTTGGATGTTGCACTTGCAGATCATCACTTTCTGTGCAAGGAAGATCTTTTCAATTGGAATTTCCCTTCCAAGATCACCTCGTGCCACCATGAATGCATCTGATTGTACGAGGATGTCATCAAACCCAACCGAGCTCTTTTCTCCAGCCAAGCCCAGATATTGCGGTGCTCTTGTCCTATTCCCAAAAGCTCTCTCCTGAGAACCCAGAAAATTTGGGTTCAATTCTGCATACTCATTTGCCTTGTAAAACACCCCAACAATCTTTTTGCTTCCACCAGATGTATGGAGGTGCCTGGTGAAAGTTGTTGATGATGCTGAGCTTCCTGATGAAGCAAGAGCTCGAACTGCATAAGCAATCACACCCTTACTCGCCATGGATTCTTAAGCTTTCCTGGTTAAATAGACCGCGGAGGAGTTTTCGCTGTTTTTTTTTTTTTTTTTTTTTTTTTTTTTTTTGCAGAAGTTCATCTAATCCGATCGGAAGAGGAAAAAGGTGAGCACGTGATGATCTGGGAAACCGACAGTGGTGATGGAGTCGTTGACGGTGGGCTTGCAGTGGTGCACGTGGATGTTGTGGATGATGATGTTGGAGACGTACAGGAGGGTTATGCATCCACCGCCAGTGACGTGGACGTTGACGCCGCGGCCGTCGATGGTTTTAAAGTTGTTGACAATGAGCTTGATGGTCATGTCGGCGGAGAAGATGATCCAGAGGGGCTCGGTTTAGATGACGGCGTGGCGGAGCGTGCCCGGAGTTGGGTTCGCCGGGTTGGAATCGGAGGAGTCGGTGATTATGTAGATCAGACCTTGACATTTTTTTTTTTTTTATGAACTTGTATTCCAGTCCTGCAAGGCCTCGAGTTCGGATGGACCAAGACCAGAGATATCCCCAGTCAGATCTTTGTCTTCAAACAACATTTTTTAAGAGCTCTGCTAGCATTTTTCCCTGCGAACAGTACATAAGGCCCACCAGGTCCATAACATCCTACTCTGGAACATGTCATAGATCTGACCTTTGTAGTCCCATTTGATCCGATCCGGCGAGGGTGTCGCTGAGGACTGCATCGAAGCTGCTGGCGTTCGAATCGACGGCAAAGTCTCGAACATCAGCGTTGTCGTCGTTGACAGCGAGAGGTTGAGAATCGCGGTGATGCCGTACTCCTGGAGCTGCTGATCAGACGACGATAGGAGCGAAAGCAACGGCTTAATCGCACCGTTTCGGGCGATTTTGAGCCGATTTTCGGATTTGTTCTTGGCGAGGAGCCTGATTTCCATGGCCGCCTGCTTCTGCTCCTCAGTCGAACCGGCCTCGAGCACGGCGACGTGCTGTTGAATCATATCATCGGAGTTGTCGGAAGCGCAGGCAATCAGAAGCTGCCGGCTCTGGGACGATGTCGTCGGGAACTCACCGGATCTATCGCTGTTATACTCACTGAAAGCAGAGGAGTTATCACCGATGCTCAGATCGCTGCAGTTCCTCCCCATGTAACTGAAATTCGATGGATTTTCCATCTCCATATCTGAAATTCCGAAATTTCTCAGATTTCAACGAATAAAACCGTCACCGAAACCTAATCGAATCGGCGAAGTCTGGGGTCCTCGTGGAGGAGGAGGGAGGACTGCGGCGCGGTTTGGGAAAACCGAAAAACCTGAATCCCGGATGGGGTCTGAGAAAGAAGGAGAGAAGAGATTAAAGCTTAAGGCTTTTTCAGTGCATATAGGAAAAGCACAGTTTGGGCTTTGAGAGCCGGGCCTGGATTTGGGCTAGTGGAGAGGTTGCTGGGCATGGGTGCGAGGAAGAAGAGGAACACCATTGGGCTGATGCCAATAGGGTCATGGTTTTGGACTTTCATCGTCAACAATCCAGCCCACTCACGGTTTTGGACTTTATCTTCAACAATCCGGCCCTTATTATTATTTGTAATACATTATAACATCTGTATTTTTTTTTTTTTTTTTTTTTTTTTTTGATAATACATTATAACATATGTTTTTGTACAAAGAACGCAATAATATTGACTTTCAATAGTCACTTTTACTACAACCTCATTTTGATGTGACTGAACTCAAAATTAAACGTTCGAGCTACCTACGTACCCTTCCAACGAAGAGATCAAGTCGAAACATAGTTCAAACGTTTTTTTTTTTTTTTTTTTTTTTTTTTTTTTTTTTTTAATGAAACATTTATTTATTTATTTTGATGTGACTGTACTTGAAGTTTTGAAGTTTCAAGTTGCCTACGTACTCTTCCAAAGAAGAGATCAAGTCATAACGTAGTTCAAATGAGTGATGATTTTGATGATGATTTTGATGATGATTTTGATGATGATTTTGCCGTACACAGTTTATGCTCTTGCGGGCCAGGAGCATCTTGGTGCCGTTTGCATTTTCAGCTCATGCAGGCAAGGAGCGTTTGTTGTCGCCTTTTATGCTCGTGCGGACAAGGAGCTTTGGTTGTCGCCTTTTAGGCTCGTGCGAACGAGGAGCTTTGGTTGTTGTTGTGGATTTGTCAAGCGATCTGGGAGAGGCGTTCCTCGCAATCTTCATAGGAAGGAGCCTTGACCGAGTAATTGAAGAAGTCTTCTGGGAAGAGGTCGCACATTGTGATGGGGATGGACGATCTTTGTGTCGAAATTTCATTATCTCCAACACTTTCACATTGTTCTGGAGGTTGACAAGAGCTGTTTTGCCCCCTTTTCGATTGATAAACTTGTGGACAAGATGGTTGCTGCTTGTCCAATTTCTTCGCAGCGATCTTCGAAAGACATTCCTCACAATCTTCATAGCAAGGAGTCTTGATCGAGAAATTGAATAAGTCTTCGAGGAAGAAAAGATCCCGCATGAACGATCTTTGTGTTGAAATTTTCTTATCTTCAACATTTTCACATTGCTTTGGAGGTTGGCGAAAGCTGCTTTCCCCCCTTTCTGATTGGTGCACTTGTGGAGAAGACATATGTTTCTCGTGCAGTTTCTTCGAAGCGACATGAGTCCATCCTTCAATTTCACTTGACTTGGAGCATGCCCCCAACAGTCGAGGTGAAGACTTTGAGTCGAAAGAGCCAGAAGTGACATCTTTCTTAGGGATTTCATCTTCAGTGCCGTCCTCTTGGGTTTGTTGGCATGAAGATTTGCCAGTGTGGACGACGATGCGCCTCCTTACCTTCAGTGGTCCTTTTGTGTCGACCTCTAGGATTGCTTGGCGCTTCATCCTTGAAGGAATCAAGCTTTGAACGTCGCCTTTTTCTGCTAACCCATCGAACTTTTCTTCCTTTGGTGTTGTCTTCCTCTTTCCAAAAGGCTTCTCATTATCTTCAAATCTTTCCGAAGCTGATGGTCGCAGAGGAGAGATAGCTGTGTTGCTTTGTTTCTTAGGCTTTAACAACCTTTCAAAAACAGAGCTTTGGGATGTTGGCATGCTAAGCCTCTTGAAGACAGAGGTTCGGCCTTGACTACCAATGCGATTAAGCGCTGAAATTCTGGAGCTTGAATGGCTCATCCTATCGAAGACCGACGGCCGAGGGGCGGGTTTAGGCTCCTTTTGGTCTTGTTCAATGCTCACGCTGATGTGTTGAGCGCTAGCTTTCTTCACTTTGCTTGAAATCTTCACGGGTGCATTTGGTGTGAAGCCAAGTCCGGCTTTGTTGTTGTCAACTCCGTAACCATGCTCCTTCAACTTCTTTTGAGTTTTGGTGAGGTTAAGTTCTTTGTCATCGACGGTGTTTGAAACCTTCTTTCCAAGATTTGAAGAGGAAGCAAAGTCATGCCTAGCCTTTGACATGGGTTCGTAGGCATTTGGGTTAAAGCCTTCTTCGGTCTTCTTAGTTGGAAGAGAGCTTGGTTTCATTTTGACGCCATGCTGTGCCTCCAGACGGTTGATGAGTCCGGCGGTTTGCAAGTTTTTCTCCTCTGCAGTCCGTGTGAGCTTTGTGATTGCTTCATTCATCTGAGCTAGTTGCTCCTCGATTGAAGTTGCTCCAGTGGTCATGACTTGCATGGTTGTACTGCCGCTCGAATCAGCGCCGGAGGGTAGGGACTCTGAGTATTTCCTCAGGCTTTCCCCTCTTGATGCCCTTAGCGAGGCTAGGGTGATCACAGGATCGTGCCTCAGGTGCTCTTGTTCCTTTGACAGAGTTAATGCAGGGGCGGAAGCCGCGGCAAAAAGAGCTCTTGCTTCACTTCGGGTTGTGATGCCCAAAATATCACCAGTTGCGGCGATAATGTTCTTGTTCTTCGCTTTGACTGCAGGAACAGCTTGATCCTTTCTTGATGCCATTTGCGTTTTTTGATGATTTGAGGATAGAGATGAGAGGTAGAGATGGTCCCACTGGGCGTGCCAAATTTGTAAACACGAGAAATTCCTGAAACAAGCGACAAGAATACGTGTACAAAATAATATTTTGTATTAATGATTTTGGGGTTACAATCTCTTTGTAATTTGGTCCTCTGATTCTATCTTCGTAGGGTGTGGGTTTGTGGATGAGTTGTTGATCCAAAGGGCCGTCGGGGCTTGATCTAAGGATGCACAGCTGATGAATGGATCTTCAAGGGGCGTTGGGCTTGATCTTGAAGGTTGATGGATGAACGGATCTTCAAGGGCTTTTGGGCTTAATCTTGAAGGATGAACGGATGTGTGGATTTGTTGAGGTTGTTGATCCAAAGGGGCCGTTGGGGCTCGATCTTAGGATGAACGGATGATGAGCGATGAACACTTTCTTCAAGGGCCGTCGGGGCTTGATCTTGAGTTGGTGGAAGTTCTTCAAGGGCCGTCGGGGCTTGATCTTGAATTGAACGGATGATGAACGATGAACACTTTCCTCAAGGGCCGTCGGGGCTTGATCTTGAGTTGGTGGAAGTTCTTCAAGGGCCGTCGGGGCTTGATCTTGAAGGTGGATTTGACGAAGAACGAAGATTGCTTTCTTGATCCTTCGGGATTTGCTTGAGAGCTTTAGAGTTTCAAGGCTTCTTTCTTTCTTCCTTCCTTCCTTCCTTCCTTCCTTCTCCCCCCAAATGAATGCCTTTGGCCTCATATTTATAGAATTCCAAAACTTGATTTTTGGATTTAAATAATCAGATGAAATAAATCGTTTCTGCCAGGTATTGACACGTGTCATATTTGATGACTTTTCCAATTTATTTCGATTTTTTGTTGAATCACACGCTACATGTAAAATTTATGTGACACGTGAACGTTGAAATTTTAATTATTGATCAACATTCATTTCACCGAAATTTTGATGTCTACAATAATTTTTGAAAATATTATAATAATAGCATGTAATAAGTACCCTGTAACACAAGTGAGTCTAAGGATGTAGGGTACTACAATAAGGTATTTCAACATCAAATATCAATTCGTTATCACAAGAAATCAATGCTCATTAATTTATGTAGGCACACAAGTCCATTGTAGAGATATTCATACAATGGAACAAGTTGTGTGTAGGTTTTACATTTTGGTACTACATCACGTGACCTGTGTTAGTCCCAGGGCTGGCCCTGAGAATTTGGGGGCCCTAGGCTAGCCTTCGAAGTGGGGCCCTAGAGTTCTCTGACTCCCGACCCTTTGTACATTGACATGTGTAAAAAAAAATTCATCAAAGACATGAAATGTTTAGTACATCAAATATCATTAAAAATTAATATAAAAAAATAAAAAAGATATACAAACATTACTCAAATATTACCTGTCTCGCATTTTAGATGCAAATGCACTTATTAAGTTTACATAATCTAATTTTTCAACCAATTCAAACCGAAAGAGAAGTCCATACCTAGTATGCCAAATTCCAATCATTTTTCTATTGTTACAATGTTACTTATTACATTCAATAAATGAATGAATGGTTAGATTACAGAGACAACATCTTACACCTAGGAAAAATACTAGAGTGAAGAGGATAGTTATTTTCGTATACAAACCTAGGCGGATGAGGTGGATTTGAATAATTTATTATATATTATATGAACTAATTAATTTGAATATTAAATAATGTCATTTTTCAGAAAGGTGAGAGTTTTAACCTTTTAGGTACATAATAAAGATATATGTGGTGTGATCTTAAAATAGGGTAATAAAACCTCATAAAAGTAAACATAAAGGTGATATTTAAGAGAGAAGAAAAAAAGTAAAACGAAGATGGTGGAGATTATTTAAAAGAGAGAAGACATACAGCTATAAAAAAAGATGGTGGACCATCTTAAGTAAAATCGTGCAATTAAAATGATGTTGGGAATATGATTATCTTCTTCCTTTCGCGAGGCCAGCCCTGCAACAAAAGATTTCCAGATTCTGGCGTTTACATATAAGCCCGCATAGCTCTCGCCTATCTCTGTCTAGACCTGCCTAATTTCGCCTAAAAATTGGGGCCTTTCCGAAGTGGGGGCCTTAGGCGGTCGCCTACTCCGACTACCCTCAGGGCCGACTCTGGCTAGTCCCATCATACACAAGAATAGGCTGGCACCCAACTCTAGATCCAAAGCAAATATTTTTTTTCTTCTCATTTTGGGCCAATTGCTAC